AGATATCAAGGTGTGCGTCGGCGGGGAGTCGAACCCCGGACCATGTGCATGGTCGGTCGGCGAGAGTTCTAACCGCTGTGCCACCGAAGCGTCAACCTGGGACTGAGCACTTGGATTCAATCAGACGACGGGGAAATCTAAAATTCAATTAGACATAGTTGTGATTATTCAAAAGATCCATTTGAATAACTACTTAATTCTTCTTTCCGGTTGTTGTGCTGTATATCACGAATTGGCAAAGGTGGAATTCTCAAGCCGCATTGGCTGCAAATTGTCTGCAGCCCCTCTTGTAACCCACTTAAGCTTCTAGTTTCGAACTCTAATGGGATTGTGCTTACTGATGGTAGAGTCGCTAGTTAGGGTGAAACAAACAGCTGTCCAGTACTCCCCCTATCAGGTTTTCCCTGAAAACAAACACTTGATGTGAATGATTTTAAACCTTTATATTCCCTATACTTCATTCAACCAGTTTCAGTGTTGATTAAAACTCATTAACACATGAATTTTTCAGTTTAAATAAATATTCATATCGACTCATAAAGTTTAAAGCTGTATTGATCTTAAATTATATATATAATATTATTGATTCAATTAATAAATAAAATTTGTGTTCTTATGAATTCTACTCATAGTTTTAAAGTTAGGTAGTTAGCTAGTTAGTCGTATTGATTTTTTGTTTTTCGTTTTGTTTTGATATCTAATTTATTTGTTTGAAAATTATTGTTTATTCTTATTTTAACGTCACTTTGTTAAATTTCTTGGTGGACGAACACATCAGTTGGTGAGAGATCATTGAATATCACCAAGGTGTACTGGACTGCTGCTAGTCGTTGTGTTCATCCCACTTTGAGACTCTTCAACAACAGAGTGAGTCCGCGACCCGACCCCATCCAGTATCGTGTCTAGAGTCATTAGGGGATTTGAGACCAAGCTCCGTTGATTATTCTTAATTACTCATTTGACAAGCACCCATCGCCCTACATGATGGCGCCCAATGTTCACAACTTCTTAGTAAACTGCTTTGGAACATCTATCCAATTAGTTACCAGTGTCCTAGAGATTAACAGTTAGATTATGGGTGCTCACTGCTCAAGATTCTTCGGACAGAAGGGAAATAAAATGTTGTCTAGTTCTCCCTACCGATTTTCTATGATCTCTCTGTAAACGATGCTGGTCTGTGACAAAATCTCACCGTTTAAATTAAATTTGAGACTTTTGGATAACGCTTAGGCGTTTGAAGCGATGGGCACTGGGTTCAAGCCCCGGTGGGGCACATTCATCCGGTGACGAGTCCCAAATAGAACGAAATGGGCATCCTGGATCCCGCAGCTAGTAGTCACCATCCACCAATTAAAATCACAACTATCAACATAAACTATATTGTATGAATTTAAAAGCATTAGGAGTGAGGGTGGGAAATAACCTGACTTCTGGAGCAACACATTAGAAGAATTCAACGAGTGAAGGTGTTAGAGTTGTAAACTATTTTCTCTCTAATCACTACACCCTACAGTTCACATTTCGATGTGACTTAACTGCCCAATCGCACGATCTTATGCACAGTTGGTAGTAAGTCACACACCTATCAAGTGTAAGGACTATTGTGATTCTACTATCAAGCTGTACAAACTCTGCTCGGTAAGTGGAGATGTGGAAGGTTTAGACCCTAGGCCATTCCCCAGTTGGTTGGAAATTCAGTAACTGGATATCAATGAGACACACAGCTCCACTGGGAGTACCAGAAGCAGTAATACTATTATTATAATACCACTTCAGTTCATACTAAGTAACATGTTTTGAGAACAGTAACCTAACTAGATTATTAATTAATCAATAAAGCCATTTTAAAATACACCTGTAAGTTCTTTGTATTACCTATCACACTTAATCGGTTACCACTAACAGTCATACATTGTAAAACAACCAACACATGTGTTAATAAAGTAGGATTTAATAAATTTGGGCTACCGATATCCATGCAGAAAATTCCATACTTGTACCAAAAATACACTGTGGAATCAAGCTGTAATCAAAAATACAAAAAAATATATTCTTCGCTCACTTACATAGACACACTTTTCGGCGTCCAACAATTGTCATATTTCTTGACTTGAAGGCGGCTTCGACTCCGTGGATCGAAAGGTACTATGGCAATGTCTGACTGTGAAGGGAGTGCCAAGAAATACATTGCACTAATCAAGGCACTCTATCAAACTCACGTAGTCGTGTAAGGGCTTATGGGGAATTGTCATCTGAATTGGTAACAACCAGTGGTGTCCGACAGGATGTCCATTTCCCCATTCTGTTTAACTTCATCATAGATATGATGGAAGTATCCTTAACTGAACGTAATGACTTAGGAATCGACTTGTTACCAGGGAATAGTCTTATGGACTTAGAATATGCAGATGACATAGTCCTGTAGGGGAGGATGCTGACAAAATGCAAGTCTTCTGAACACCTTACAGCAATCTGTATGTTTGGCATGCGATTCGCCCCTACAAAATGTAAGATGCTGCTACAGGACTGGACCACGTCAACTCCTAACTTAGTGATAGGGAGTGAAGTGATAGAACATGTTGACCACTTCACCTATTTGGGAAGTTGTATTAGCACCAACGGACTGATTGGCGATGAAATCTCAGCACGGATCCGAAAAGCTCGAGCTGCTTTCGCTGACTTACACCATCTCTGGCGTAGGCGTGACATCCGGTTATCAACCAAGGGACGTGTGTACTGCTCAGCAGTTCGCTCCGTCCTTCTCTATGGCTCTGAAACATGGCCAATACGCGTTGAAGACATGAAAAGGTTGACTGCTTTCGATCATAGATGTCTGCGATCTCTGTCTCACGTTAGGTGGTTTAATAAGGTAAGTAATGTTGACGTTAGGCGTAGAGTGTTGGGCAAAGAGGGAAAATCAATCGACGAGGCTATAAAGTTACATAGACTAAGATGGCTAGGTCACGTGGTGCGCATGCCTAACCACCGCCTCCCCCGACGGGCATTGCTAGCTGATATAGGTGAAGGTTGGAAAAGAGCCAGTGGTGGCCAAACAAAAACATGGCCTCATCAATCCATGAAATCCTTGACAGTTAAACTGAGTCAGGTAGGGAGATGCAGACTCCCGGTTGGGGGCCTCGGGACTCTAGGAATCAATGGCTGGAGACAATAGGTGACATGGCTCAAAATCGTTGTCAATGGCCCGAAGATGTATTCAGTCTCTGTAATCTTTCATATTCCTTTCTACCATTACCCATTCTGTTTCACTCTTATACTTGTCAAACTCTATTGATTCTCTTCACTCATCTTCTTGTCTACCTCTGTGTGCTATTTGGAACGTGGCAACTCGAACTGGTGCACTTCGGTGCCAAGTTCTATGTTGAATACACTTCTGTTTATTATCTCTCCCTCTCTCTTGCTTTGTGCGCCTACATGGAAGGAGTGTGGCAGCAACTTGAACTGTTGCATGCATATCTGTGCAAATCTAGTTCTGTGTTGAAACCAAGCAGTCAGTCAGTCAGTAATGGTATACTTTTCTCTTTTTTCCTTTATGTTATCCAGTGGAACATAGGGCTTCAACAAGCTAGTGGCTTGAAGTTTCTGTAGCAGCAGTGTTTATCTATTTTACAGGATGGGGTTGCTAGCCAGCCTCATGCTTACCTAACCTTTTCTCTTTACCAGCATTATTTCTGGCTTAAGCTAGGTGAAGGAGGAGGAGTGCGTCAGTGGCCACCAGCCGGGGATCAAACCCCGGACCATGTGTATGGTCGGTCGGCGAGCGTCCTAACCGCTATGCCGACGACGCACAATGGTTTACTTCCATCACTAGAATAACCAACTAGTTATTAGTGTGTAAGAGCATGAAACTGTCAGGACTAGCAAAGTGAAAAACAACAACAACAGTAATAATTGACGAGTACGGGATATGAACATGATAGTTTCAAAATGTACACAGAAATCGAGTTTATAGACCTGAAATGGAAGAAGCCTCCACGTAATTGCAAGTATTTTTCCCTTTGTTAAAATTAATCGACGAGGTTATGAAGCAGTTGCATCGATTGAGATAATTAGGACATATGCTACACGCATGCACCCTTAGCCATCGGCTGCCTTGATGGAAGATGTTAGCTGACTGACATAGGATGGATCAGATTGGAGAAGAGCTAGTGGCGACAGTGGTTAAACCAAAACATGGCTTCATCAGTCAATGAAATCCACAACAGTTAGTTTAAGCCACACACACAACACAAACATTCAGTCACGTAGGGAGGAATACAATGGCTGGCTGGCTGACTGACTGATTGGGGTCCTCAGAAAGGTGAAAATCAATCGCTGAAGCAATTAGTGACATAGCTCAAAATCATTTTCAGTGGTGCGCAGATGCATTCACTCTTTATGATGCACATCTGTGCACAGTTCTAGGTTGAAACCAGTCGGTCAGTAACAGCGTCATTCTCATGACGAGTAGTCGTCTGTAAGATAACTAGAACAAAGTAGACTTCTCGCATATCTATTGATGTCAGCCAAGGCCCTCAAGACCAAGTGTAAAGGTGCACACCAGCTACTGATAGACAGCTTTAAGAAACCATACAGGTACAGGTTGACAAAAACTATTGTTTTTCATGAAATCTATCGTTATCAAAAGGGTACTGAGCTTCTGATAGGTAAACTGCCTGTCTTTTTACAACGTTATATTCATTCGTGAGATCGTCTAGGAGTTCAACAACACGATAGACCTGAAATTTAAGAGCTCAAAAGTATTATATACTCTCCAAGAAGCCAAAGAAGCCTAACAGGTTGCCTTGAATGCTATCCACGTGTGACCATCATGCCCAAGACAAACATACTCTTCACCTCCCCTTCTCCCCCCCAAAAAATCAATAATGATACTCAGTTGCGAGGGAGTTACAAACAAGGAAGAGGTGTTAAACATCTTTGAAACATTAACACTCTTAATCTAGTGAATAATCTAAATACAATTAATAATTTTTCTAACTTACTTGAGTTTGAATCCTCCAGTTTCATTGAACTTGCTTGTGTTTCTTGACAATCAGGTGGAGGTAAAGAAGCTTGTTGTTGTAGACTAGATGCTGGTGGAGCTGATGTCGGTGTACGTGCGGAACTAGGCGTTAGGGGAGCACCAGATGTTGAACTTCCTGAACTACCAATTCCACTAACACCACCACCGCCACCACAACCACCACCCCCGTGACCATGACCACCAGAGAATGCTGGTGAAGCACTTTTTGGTCCATTTGCTCCCAGGCTAACAATATTATTCAATTGTAATTTATCATTTTCAACAGAGGATAAACTTGTCAACTTATGATGATGATGACCCGACTGACGTCTTCGCAACTCGGCTAATTCATTCAACTCTTTAGTACGTAGATAATTAGAATCCAATTCGGTGTTTGGTGCATGTAATTCCATGGCATCAAGACTTTCTTTAACTAATTCAAAGAGATCTTGTTTCAAAAAACAGTGTAAATCGTATTCTTTTTCATTACGACTTAATGACATAATAAATGCAAGCCATTGATCAGCTGTTGGACCGACTACAACATCCCATTGTGAGGATATCCCACTTTGAGGACGTTCACGGTATAAGCGTAAATCTAGGACAGATAAGGAAATAACGAGAAAACAAAAGAAATTACATTTCATCCAATTACATAATAATAATAATAATAATATGAATTATGAAGTGTTAGTTTTGCAGGCATTTCATTGACATCAGCAACAGAACCCCAATTGAAGAACCAAGCAGTAATGGAACAGCTATTTCGTCCTAGTTTGGGGGATTCTTCGTCTGTGAGAAATCGTAACCGATGGGGTCCATCAAGTCAGATAAGAGAATGGGTTAGTACTTATCTATATGACACTGGGTTGTGGTTGTGCTATCCATATATGTTGCGAATTCGTAGAAGTTGGAAAGCATGGGCCATTAGATTGGTTACCCCCCCCTCCCCTCCCAAAGTGGTTGAATGTTTTAAAAGCTTAATTTGTAACCAGAAGGTCCTAGGGTTCGAACTTATGGGGTGTTTCAAAACTAGGACGAAACCGCTGTCCAGCACTCCCTCACCTTCCTTCATGGGCAATGTTGGCTGACTGACATAGGATAAGGTTGGAAAAGAGCTAGTGGTGGTGGCTTCATCAGTCGATGAAATACATAACAGTTAGTTTAAGCCAGCCAACCAACCAACCAGTCACGTAAGGGGGGGGTTGACTGGCTAGCTGGGGTCTTCAGGATAGTAAGAACCTATGAAAGTTGGAGATAATTGGTGATGATATGGCTCAAAGTGATCATTGTCAACGGCTGGTGAGGATGCATTCACTCTTTTTGTGGCTTGCCAGTCATATCCAATCAAACTCTATTGTTTTTCCCCTCACTTACACTTCTGTCTATTATCTGTCTTTACTTTATTTTCTCTTGCTTTGTGTGTTACATGGAGGGAGTGTAGCGGCAACTGGAACTACCGCATACCTGTGCAAAATTCTACGTTGAAACCAGTTAGTCAGTCACTCGTTTTCCAATGATCGCACTCTAGCTGATATCACCTCGCGATCAAAACTTTCAACAACAGGAATGTTAAACTGTCAAATAATGCCAAATCCTACAACTGTCTGCATCCTAATGAAAACAGTTTATGCCTATAATCTCAGAAAGAAGACACTGCTCCCACCTCCTCTTTTAACATGTTCAACTTTTGAGAAAAACTTATAGATTGCAATCTTGATATTGGCTCACTAGAGAACAAAAAAAATGGGACATGTGGCTGACTAACTTCTTGTTGCTATGCATTTCATTAAGGGGGAAAGACAGAAACCTCATCGAATCTCTTCCCGTTGCAAGAATCTGCTAACTACACACACAGGAAAGACATATTAATAAATACAAAAAAGGGAGAGAGAGAGAGAGAGTTGGAGTCTTTGTGAAACACTCAAGAAAAAGTTAATAATAAACGAAGAATTCAAAGCGTGATACACAACAGCTAAAATCTTTTAAAGCAGATTATTACCAAAAGGAGTTCGGAAAGCATCTTTTGCACCATCCATATACACAAAATGCAGTCTGGCAACATTCATGTGCATATACATCCACTCTCACTCCAGAGAAATTAAGTGTACAACAAACTGTGCTGGTAGGATATTGCCTAGACATGGAACAAGAGAACATTCCCTGAATATGATTGTCAAGAGGAGCAAAATTAACCACACCTTGTACTTACAGGTTATTATCTACATCAATAGAGAAATCTTTCAACGTGGAATACAAGGTAAGGCCAGGCATATATCTTTTGTCTACAGCATAAACACTCTTGATGTATACACAATCACACACACACACACCCACACATAAGGATGACTCTGAAATGTCTATAGAAAAAAAGTCACTTGTCCAATCCAGTTTTAATCATAATCTTCAAGTATTGGTTTTGTAGGGATTTTGTTTAATTGCATGGAGGATTTAATCATGAGCTGACATCAGTTAGAGAACCACTGGAAATCATCATTTCTGAGCGATGTGCATCGCTTAATTTGCATTTTAGATTTTATTTTCATAATTCCTCCGGATAATACAGATACATTTCAACAGATATGAACAATTGACTGCTGTTATGCGACAGGGTGTGTGTGTGTGTTTATCCACAACTCTTTCAGAACACTATACACAACTAACTAATTGTCTTGAAATAATAATAGAGAAGATTTGTAGTAGCTCAGGTGGATAATTTCCAATTGGTTGTGTTATCTGAGGAGCTGGTTGGTTGGTTTAGTTGCGGCTGAGCTTTCGTCGTCGCCTCTTCTAGACAACATCCCCTCTTTCAGTGCAAGTTTTCGCATAAAGTGAACAAATTTAAATTCTTCATGAATGATGATAGAATTGCGTCTCCCAGTAACCATCTTTACATATGTATTAGTCATTTTTTAATTGACTTGGATTTTAAACTTTCTTGCCAAGTGTGATTTACTTTTTATTAGTTGGTATATTTGGTCTATATCAACATGTTTGCTAATTGCATATTCTCTGTAGTTTGGTTTGTAAGGGTTAATTTTGTTTTTACAGGTTAATCACGGATTGATATCAGTTAGAGAACCATTGAAAACCAGGGAGTGTACTGGACAGCTGCTGTTTCATCCTAGTTTGGGAATCATAGGCAGTAACCACCCTGTGGGATTCGAACCCAGGACCTTCTGGTTACAAGCAAGCAAGCAAGCTCGTATACCATTCACAGCCACTGGGACCCGATTCAATGACCACAACCCATGAATTGTAACGCCAACCGATTTCGTGATTTAGCGCCACTGGCACCAACCGGTGTTGTCGGTGAGATATCCGTCCTCACACTTGCCATCTGGATGAACCTCACTGGTCACGACCTATCAATAAAACTGCAGGAAACTCTGTCCCTTGTGTATCAAGTCACTAGCGAGCATCTATGACAATGATTGGGGTCGCTCTAAATCACGAAATGGTAGAAGTTAGAATTCATATGCAGTGGCTATTGAATCGGGTCCCAGTGGTTGAATGGTATACGAGCTAGCTTTCCTTGTAACCGGAAATTCCTGGGTTCACGCCCTGGGGGGTGGGTAGTTACTGCCGATGATTCGCAGACTAGGATGAAACAGCTGTCCAGTACACCAGTGCTAGTGGTTTTCAATGGTTCTCTAGCTGATATCAATCCATGATCAACTCGTAAACATTGTATATTCGTCTGAGTACCAGGCTTCTTGGAATTCCCTGGCACTTTTGGTGTTTCCTCTGTCTAAATCTCGACATTATCCTAATCATCAAATTGATGCCTATAATTGTCTACATGCATTGATATGAAAGAATAAACCAGATCATGTCTTTTTACAGCCAGTATGCGTTCCTGGATTCTGATTCACTCATGACAAAAAAATTTAAATCAGTTCACTTTATGCTAAAACTTGTGCTGAATGAAAGAGGATGTTATCCAGAAGAGGGAACGACGAAAGCTCAGCCGCAAATAAACCAACCAACCAGCTCCTCAGAGAACACGACTACCAGTTGCATAACTAATTGTCTGTACAGCTTTGAAGTGAAATCATGAAAAAAAAGAGGATATTCTTTGCAAATTTTATGTTAATGCCCAAAGTTACTACTTAATTCCTTTCTCGTAGAAATATCTACTATTACTACTACACGAAGAACAAAAAATGATTTGTTAACAAAATATACCAACACAACCGTCGATTATACACAAACACACGGTCATTATAGAATAGTTTTTATTTATTAGTTGACACAGAGTATATACACGATGTTGTTAATTAAAGTGGTCAATATTATACAACAATTACTGTAAACAATCCTATGAGTGAGGTATGCTCTTGTCTATCTATCATCAACACACACACACACACTCATCAATCTATGCATATACCATGTGAATATTATTCAAGGTATGCGTGCTACACGCTACACACACACACACACCAAGATTGAGATGAATGAAGAGCAATCCTAAGAAATAAACAAAATATATAATTAAGTATAGTCCTTATAGAACTGCAAATAAAAGGCTTGTGTATAGTATGTTCTTCAATCACGTAAGACTTAACGCACACACAGTCGTTTCAACAAGTGAAAGACGCAAGTAGTATTTTGTGTGAATGCAGGGGAAAAAGGATCAACGATTCCAGATTATTTACTGTATCCTTCGCCCCTCGTGCATAGTTCACTAAACTGCTGTGAAGTATAAAGCTTTGAAGTTGAGGTTAGCGGCTAGGAGTTTGCTATAGGCTCACATGTCTAGCCTGATCTTTCCTCTTTAGAGAAATTAATATTGACGATAAGCACGGTTTAGGAGTGTGTGTGTTTTGTGTGTGTTAGCCGAAGATCGAACAGCGGACTACGTACAATGTGGTGGTTGGCAAGTATTTCTACTGCTGAACTCACACAAATCAGAACACGACTTTAAATGGTTCACACAATTTTAGATAGTCCACTAAACACAAGTGATTATTATGATTATTCCCTTGGATTCGAGGTGGAACATAACAGGGCTTCAACTACACATCTCCACTTTCTTCTATTCTCTTTTGCCGTCTTCAGCTGGCTCCACGACTGTCCATAATCTCCTAGCTCCTCCTCTGAAAAACGACCTCTTCCATATCACCCTCACACAGACGACACACTCATTACTCCTCTTTGGAATTCCACTCGAGTGATGGTCTGCACTGTGTGAGATATCATTCGATGGTCTCCTCAGTGTCTACCCGATGCATCCCATTTTCTTCTACATTTGTTGAGCAAAGTTCAACAATAGCGCCCCAATGAATGCTAAGGCACGAGTGACCTTCAGCCGATCAATCATAAAAATGATGTATATTTTTAAGAAAATGCATGAAAACACATTATTAAACAGGTTATCTTTCTCTGACATGGCTTAAAAATACGTCTTAGTTGTAACGAGGAGTATTAGTTGCTAAGTTAGACTAGTTTCTGTACATGTTTATTCACCGAGATGACTACAGATAAACTGTTTTTGTGAAGCGTTTATCTCTCTCATCAATCCTGCTTACAGTCTTCCAAAAAAGCCCTCGATTGAATTATTATGGTTTCCAGCAAAAGGATAGACGACTACTT